CACTGTGGCTCAAATGGTAGAGTGCTAGCCTTGAGCTGAAGAGCTGAGGGACAGTGCCCAGGCCCTGAGTTCAGACCCCGTGACCAGCAAAAAAAAAAAAGAGTCTCAGGGACTTTCCTGCCCAGGCTGGCTTTGAACTGCAATCCTCAGATCTCAGCCTCCTGAGTATCAGCTAGGATTACAGTTGTGAGCCACCGGCACCCGTCCCAATGTAGTCTTTTCTTTCTTTCAAAATAGGCTTTTGTTTTGGGCAATGTTTTTGTTTTTTGCCAGTCTTGGGGCTTGACTCTGGGCCTGGGTTCTGTCCCTGAGATTCTTTTTGCTCAAGGCTAGTACTGTACCATTTGAGCCACAGCGCCACTTCCAGCCTTTAATGTGTATGTGGTACTGAAGAATGGAACCCAGGGCTTCATGCATGCTAGGCAAGCACTCTACCATTAAGCCACATTCCTAGCCTGTCCCTCAGCTCTTCAGCTCAAGGCGAGCGCTCTACCACTTGAGCCACAGCACCACTTCCTGTGCAGCTCTTCTTATGTGCCAAAAGACATCTTTGTATCTCAGGGATTTATTTTAACTACATTGTCAGTGAATATGTTTTTTCTGTGGCCCACAGAGAGTAAATGACTTAACTTAAAATTTCATACTATAGGTGAGAGAAAGTGTGATTTGAGGTGCTTTTTACCACTCTAATAATACACTGAATTTCAGATGGCGACTTGTAACCAACTGCTGATCATTTATACCCGTGTTCCTAGCTACTTAGGAGGCTGAGATCTAAGGATAGCAGATAGATCTACGGAGCCAGTCTGGGCAGGAACCAAAAAGCTGGAAGTAGAGCTATGTTTCAAGTGGTAGAATGCCAGCCTTGAACAAAAAAGCTAAGGACAGTAACCAAGCCCTGAGTTCAAGTCCCAAGATTGGCACAAAAAATAAAAGAAAAACAACAACAACAAAAAACCTTTTTGCAGTGCTGCAGATCATCTTAATCATTTTTTTTTATTTTGGGGGGGGGTCCTGTCGTGGGGCCTGGGTGCTGTCCCTCAGCTCTTCAGCTCAAGGCTAGCACTCTACCACTTGAGCCACAGCACCACGTCTGGCTTTTTTTTTTCTGCTTATATGGTGCTGAGGAATCGAACCCAGGGCCTTATGCATGCAAGGCAAGCACTCTACCACTAAGCCACCTTCCCAGCCCATGCAAATCATCTTAAGGTATAAAATAGGTGATTCCAAAGTGGCTGGGGGGAGTTCCAGACACACTTACATTCTTTGACCAAAAACATTGGCTGTCATCACGGTTCTAGCCTTGCAGAGGGTTTCTGGGTACTTGACCATAGAATAGTGTGATAGTGTGATTTTTTTTTGTTGTTATTGTTGTTTTTGTTTTTTTTGTCAGTTCTGGGGCTTGAACTCTGGGCCAAGGCACTGTTCCTGGGCTCCTTTTGCTCAAGTCTACACGCTGCCTGTTTGAGCCACAGTACCACTTCCAGCTTTCTCTGTAATTAATTGGAAATAAGAGTCACATAGACTTTGCTGCTGGGGCTGGCTTTGCATCATGATCCTCAGATCTTAGCCTCCTGAGTAGCCAGGATTACAGGAGTGAGACAATGGTGCCTGTCTAATGATGTGATTTTTGTAGGTGCTGCACAAATTCAGTGTTGGAGAAACTCAGGCTAACAGACTACTTACTAAGCACATGTTCTTTGTCTTCATTGCCCTTACTTTTGTCTCTCAGGGATCCGGTCCGTGAGCTTCTATGAGCATATCATCACTGTGGGCACAGGGCAGGGCTCCCTGCTCTTCTATGATATCCGAGCTCAGAGATTTCTGGAAGAGAGGTTCTCAGCGTGTTATGGATCCAAGCCCAGACTAGCAGGGGAAAATCTGAAACTAACCACTGGCAAAGGTTGGCTGGTGAGTAAGCCTCCACCTGAGATGGTTGCTGGAAGTGACAAAAATTATTTTCCCTCTACTCATTTACCCTTACTTCTGCTGACACGCCCCTTACCTGCCCACACTTTTTCAGTAGTAAGAGGCACTGTCTGGAACAGAGAAGGCAGCTTGTTGCCCTGAATGTTCCATATTACATAGTCTGAGAGTACAAGGCCCTAGTAAAGCACACTGGTTGACTTCGAAATCCCCCAAGTGGAGCTAGAGCAGGATGAGGAACCTTACACCATGGCTTCCAGTGAGTAATTACGGAGTTCGTTTCCAACTGTCTCGTGAAGACCTGTGCTTTGTGTAACAATACTTAAGCCTGCTCAGTTTCTCTTAATGTTTAGTTAGGAAGAGGCCTGGCCAGGTGGCTCACACCTGTAATCTTAGCTACTCGGGAAACAAGGATCGTGGTTTGAAGCCAACCGGGGCAAAAAAGTTACCCACCAAAACTGGAAGTGATGCTGTGTGGCTCCAGTGGTAAAAGCACTAGCCTTGAGCAAAATGAAGCTCAGGGACAGTGCCCAGGCCTTGAGTTCAAGCCTCAGGACCAGCACAGAGAGAGAGAGAAAGGGGGAGGAGAGCCCAATTCCCATGAGAACCAATCTGCTTTTTGTTTTTGTTTTGTTTTTTTAAATTTATACAAAGAGGTTACAATTCCATAAGTCAGGTAATATGTACAGTACTTCTTGGTCAGTATCCTTTCTTCTTTTTTTTTTTTTTTTCTCGGTTGTGGGGCTTGAACACTGGGCCTGGGCACTGTCCCTCAGCATTTCAGCTCAAGGTGAGCACTCTACCTCTTGAGCCACAGCCCCACTTCCTATTTTCTGGTGGTTAATTGGAGATAAGAATCTCATGGACTTTCCTGCCAAGGCTGGCTTTGAACTGTGATCCACAGATCTCAGCCTCTTGAGTAGCTAGGATTACAAGCATGAGCTACCAGTGCCCGGCCTCCTCTCTTCTTTAATTCAACTTTTTTGTTGTTGTTGTTGGTCATGGGGCCTGAGCTCTGGGCCTGGGTGCTGTCCCTCAGCTCTTCAGCTCAAGGCTAGCTCTCTACCATTTGAGCCACAGCACTGCTTCTAGCTTTTTCAGCTTATGTGGTGCTGAAGAATCAAACCCAGGGTCTCATGCATGCAAGAATTCTACCACTGAGCCACCTTCCCAGTCCCTAATTCAGCTTTTTATAGAGTTCTTACTAAGACCAGAAATCTTTCTTATCCCTTCTTCCTTCTCTTCTACCCCATGGCCTAGAGGTACTAATGGTCTCTTCTTCTTCCATAGAATCATGATGAAACCTGGAGGAATTACTTCTCAGATATTGATTTCTTCCCCAATGCTGTTTACACCCACTGCTACGACTCGTCTGGAACGAAACTCTTTGTGGCAGGAGGTCCCCTCCCTTCAGGGCTCCATGGAAACTATGCTGGACTATGGAGTTAATGACAGCTAACTTTCTCCCAAAATGCAGAGTTACACTAACTTCCACCCTCTGTTTCTTTGGTTCTTTCGATTTTTTTTTTCCGATTGTGGAAGCTCTCCTATTTTAGTGGGAACACCAGTTTATCTGTGGTCTAGGCACTTCATAGGAAGAAGCTCTGTAAAGAAATCCAAAGGGTGTTTTTGTTGTTGTTGTATTGCTTTTTTCTCCTTAAGTAATCAGAATTTTCTTTTTCTTTTTTTTTTTTTGGTTTTGTTTCTGACTTCTCAACCAAACATTGTTGCAAATTCCTATTTGTATTTTTTCTTTAAGTGACACATACTCCCCTGGCTTCTTGAGGCTGAAATAACATAGTTATTCTCATCCTTACTTCATTCTTGAGAGGTAGGGCTTCTTTATAATTATGTGGTATCTGTCAGACTTTCTGTGAAAGTTTGGGAGCCATGTGAGTATGCGCGTGTATGCGTGTGAACCTGTGTACCTGTGGGTACTGTGTGTCACTGAAATTACCTGGAGTGAGGATTACTTGTAATTAAAATATTTATAAAAGAAACAACTTATTCACAGAGTCCAGCTTTGGGTTTGGCCTGTATCTCATTTTTATAAGTTTTAATCAACATGATTGTAGGAAGCAAAAATCAGAAAGAGAAACGAATAAATCACTGGTAACACCTTTAAGTTAGCTCACAGGCTGCCTGGGCCTTCCATGTCAGGACTCCAGTCCAGCCCTACTGTCATCCCATCAGGGTGTGTCCCTTCCACTTCCCAAGCTCCCATCTGACTAGCCAATGGCCATTCCTCTAAAACAGGTGCAGCTCTGCAGGCGCGGACGCTTCATAGGATTTGGTGAGGAGAATCCACTTCCTAATATTCCTTTCCCCTCAAGCAAGACCTGGTCTAGCATTGTCAAACCCTAGGGCTGGGAGGGCTTCAAAGTCTGCTAAGGTTCCCAAACACAGTTCCCTTGGCTTGAAGGAAAAGCTTTTCCCTTACCATTCTCCTAATCTCCTGTGGGTTTTGCTGTTGTTTGCTAAATTGGCTTCAGGCCAGGAGCATGGTGGTGAGCAGGGGGGTTATCTGTGTGTAATGAGTGCTTCATGTATGGAGTATTTGTTTTCTCAATGCAGTGGGGCTTAGGGTTGAAGCCACCTCTCCTACTCTATTAGCCCAGCCTGGGATGGTGATGGAGTGGCCAGTAGCCTGCATTGTTGTGCATGTAACAGATTAGTGATTTGCCTGTTCTTCCCTTGAACTGTCTGTTTAGTCTGAGGTTTTTAAAATTGCAGGACACTGACTGTAATGTCCAGTTGTTCCCTGCTTTTTATGCATCATGTTGACGATAACAGCTATTTCCACAGTCTTCCTCTAGATACATACAATGCTTCTGTCAGCTTCCTGTCCTGGGGAAATGCAGTCATATTCCTGCACCCCAGATTCTTAGTCACTCTCTGTTATACCTCTTCTGAGTGTGTGTGTGTGTGTGTGTGGTGCCTGCTGGGGAAGGAAAATAGCCTACTCTAATCTTGGGGCACACAGCATTATCCCGCAGGTTCTGGAATTCTCATCTTTTAACCTAGAAAAATAGGTGCTATAAACAGGGAATTAAGCAAAATGCTGGTTGCTATAAATCTTTTTGTCTTAATTTTTTCTATTATTAAACTACAGTCTGTAGATTTCTTAGTTCTCACAGAACTTCTATTCATTTGAAACTGACTTGTATATTTAAAACAAAAAAAAAAAATCTTTAAGTAGGATGTTTTGTACTGTTGCCAGACCCTCTTCAATGATGGGTAATGCGTTTGATTGTTTGAGATTTTGTTTTTAAAAATGTAGCATTTTTTTGCCAAGGAAAATAAATAAATATTATTTCAGTGCAGAATGGCTTAAATGAGTGTGTGTAGTCACGAGGCTTCAGGGAAAAGACCTTAGGTTGGTTGAAGGTACACTGGGATTGTTCAAGGTTAGAAGCAGGGATACATATAAGGCTGCTTGCTCCCTTACTTCCTAGCATTGGCTCAAGATCAGTTGCTCTGTGGATTCAGTTGAAAATGGCTATATCCACCGGGCACCAATGGCTCATACCTGTAATCCTAGCTACTCAGGAGGCTGAGATCTGAGGATCATGGTTCAAAGCTAGCCCAGGCAAGAAAGTCTGTGAGACTTTTTTTTTTTTTTTGTCGGTCATGGGCCTTGAACTCTGGGCCTGAGCGCTGGCCCTCAGCTCTTCAGCTCAATGCTAGTGCTCTACCACTTGAGCTACAGCGCCACTTCTGGTTTTCTGCTGGTTTATTGGAGATAAGAGTTTCACGGAGTTTCCTGCCCGGGCCGGCTTCGAACCATGATCCTCAGATCTCTCCTGAGTAGCTAGGATTACAGGTGTGAGCCACCGACACCTGGCTCGTAAGACTCTTATTTCCAATAAACCACTAGAAAACCAGAAGTGGTACTGTGGCTCAAGTGGTAGAGTATTTGCCTTGACCTGAAGAGCATGGGGAGAGTGCCCAAGCCCAGAGTTCAAGCCCCATGACCGACAAAAAAAAAAGAAAATGTCTACATCCAAGGGAAGTAGTATAGTACCTGGAAAGAAAAAAATCCAGTGGCTAAAAATGGAGAGATGCTTTGCTCTGAGTCTGCATTTGTACCAGCTAACCAGTTCTTCTGACATAAATCAAGGTTAATGATAGGCTTTGCCTACTTCAGTGGATATTCCCCTAAGAATGGCCAAAAGTGGCTGTGCTGTGCCCTGGGAAGCATGCCATATTTTTGCAGTTGGAACTGTGGCTCTTCACTGCTGTTTATAAGGTGCGGGCATGGTGACTACAGAGAGTGATGCCTGATTGAAGCTCTAGCTGAAAGAGGCAGACTACTGGGTATAGCACCTTCATGCCATCATCCATGTCTGGGTGCTCTGCCACTTGAGCCTGGCAAGGCAGTGCTTATTCCTCTGCCACATGGCACTTGTTCCTTTCCAGAGCAAGGTTATAACTACTCTTCAAACCTGCCTTAGACTGGTTCAGAACAGGACTCATTGGGCTGGGAATGTGGCTTAGTGGAAGAATGCTTGCCTAGCATGCATGAAGCCCTCAGTTTGATTCCTCACTGCCCACATACACAGAAAAAGCCAGAAGTGATGCTGTGGCTTAAGTGGTAAAGTGCTAGCCTAGAGCAAAAGAAGCTCAGGGAGAGTGCCCAAAGTCCTGATTTGAAGCCCCAGGACTGGCAAAAAAAAGAAAAAAACGTAACTCATGATGATCTGTTTGGTCAAAGGTTATGAGACAAAAAGGGGGAGTGAAAACAAAATTTGAGAGGGTTTTCTAGAAGAACAGTTAGATTTGAACAGAGACTGCAGCTAACCATTTTTTGGGGGGTTTTTTTGTTTTTTTTTTTTTTGGTCAGTCATGGGGCTTGAACTCTGGGCCTGGGCGCTGTCCCTCAGCTCTTCAGCTCAAGGCGAGCGCTCTACCA